TTCAATCCCCGGTTCCACAAAAAAATAAAATTAGAGCAGGATTGGGGCCGGGGAGATGGCTCAGTAGAATAAGAGCTTCCCTGGCAAGGGCAAGGGCCTGAGTTCAATCCCAGGTCCCGTCAAAAAACAAATAAAATAAAATTTAGCAGGACTTCAAGAAAATATACTGCAGGGGCTGGGGAGATGGCTCAGTAGAATAAGCACTTAGGGCCTAAGTTCAGTTCCCGGTTCCACCAAAAAAAGGGAAAAAAAAGCAAAATGTACTGCAATTACTAGGGAAGATCAAAAAGATGGTCTTAACTTTTTGTTTTTGAGTCAGGGTCTTCCTATGTAATTCAGCCTGGCCTTGCACTCGTTTTGTAGCCCAGGCTGGCTTCAAACTCACAGTGATCCTCCTGCCTCAGCCCCAGGAGATAACTGTCTGTACAGATGTTCAGGACTATAGGTGTGTGCCATTGTGCCCAACTCTCACTGTGCCTCTAAACATGAATTTAGATGGCTTTTACTGTATTTTTAAGAAGGCCAAGGTCTCATATCTAGGAGGGTCCCAGTACTTACATAATCCTAACAAGAGCAAAACACTCAGGCTTCAGCTGTTTAGAAAAATAAAATGTAGCCCAGTTGCCAATCTTGGGTTACCTCTTCTGGCCTATGGAGTTTTTTTTTCCCCCCCAAGACTTTTTATTCCCTTGAACTTAGTCAAACACAGAATGAATTCAGACCCAAGATAAACTAAAACATAATACATAGGTTTGATAAATTCAAGTAAGTCTTGGCCATCCTGTCCTTTACATATCCATAATTACAAAATCACTTAACAACACATGTAGGCTGGGCATGGTGGCGCGTGCCTGTGAGCCCAGCACTTGGGAGGCTGAGGCAGGAGGGCCGCTGCAGCCCAAGACCGTCCTGAGCTACAGGTGAGCTCGAGGCCAGCGTGAATGCCTAGTGAGACCCTGTCTCAAAAACAATTTAGTAAATAAATTGTAAATCTGCCATTTTCCTGTAGATATAGTTTGACTATGACAAATAACAGTTGTCAAAACAAAATTTTTTTTTGAGGCAGGGTCTTGCTACGTAGCCCACGATGGCCTTGAACTCTCTGATCCTCCTGCTTCAGCCTCCACCGATTGATAAAATTTTAAATCAAATTCTATTTAGTCCCTTTTGAGTGCCATCATGCACAAAGCCTGAGGAATGTCACCTAGTGTGACTGCTGGGTGTGAGGCCTTGATATGCCACCTTCGGTGCTTAACTTCCTTCACAGGGTAAGGTGACTTCAGGACACAAGTGGCCTGAAGAAATGTCCTTTTCCTTTTTTTGGTTAAGACTGGGAAGAAACTAATTTTCCATCTATTTACAATCTGTATAGAAAGCAGCTACGAAAACTAAGTAACATATATATAAACTGCTTCTCTGCATTTCAGTAGATTGCACAAATACACAGTCTGAGCCAATTAAGACATCTGATGTAAGAGGAAACAGGAGCCTGAGGTAAACAGTTTAAACCACGCACTTGGAAAGCATGTATTTATATTTCATCTCTGTAAAAAAGTTGTTATATATAAAATGTATAAATGTAGTGTGCACTGATTCTTAAGTAAAAAGAGTAAGCCCAAAATTGTAATTCAGCCCTTTAAAAAGTCTACAAATTTGCAGAAGCACAGCAGCGTCCTGGTCAGCCGAGGCGCTCACTGGCAGGGGAGTCCACGCTGTCCCCGGGGCGCTGGCCGTCCGCCGGGAGCTCCGCGTAAGCACTCTCAGGGATGCGCCGGGTGTAGAAGAGGATGTAAGCCTGGGCCTTGCACACCTCGGCCGTGGTGCACATGCTCAGCTTGGAATCGTTGCAGTGTACCCAGAACCCTAGGGGAGCCACAGAAGCGGAACTCAGAAGGGAATACGGCTTTCTGGGAAGCGTGCTTTCCATGATGAGAACAGCCTGGGTGGCGTGCTCCTCCAAAGGCACCAAGTCTGCTGCTGACAGTACCCGACTACTCCCAGAGCCTGAAGCCTAAACTTAACTTTAAAACACTCAGGGGCTGGGGAGATAGCTCAGTAGAATAAGCGCTTGTCTGGCAAACACAAGGGGCTGAGTTCAATCCCCGGTTCTGCAAAAAAAAAATAAAATAAAAATAAACTCAGGGGGCCGGGGAGATGGCTCAGTGGAATAAGCACTTCCCTGGCAAGCACAAGAGCCTGAGTTCAATCCCTGATTCTGCCAAAAAAAAAAAAAAAAGGAAAGAAAAATTAAAAAAAAAATAAAAAAAATAAAATAAACTCAGGTCCTTGTATTTGCCAGGCATCTCCCTAGCTCTCTAACTCATTTCTTTTCTGTCTCTGTCTCTGTCCGTCTGTCTCCCTCCCTCCCTCCCTCCCCCCTCCCCTCCCCTCCTATCTTTCCCTTTTCTTACGTATCCAGTACAGGCTCTACAAGATCTTACTACAGACTGGACTCCTAGTGATCCTCCTGTTTTCAGCATCCCAAGCAGTGGGATTACTGGGGCATGCTGCCACGCCCAGTCTCAACGCTGTCACAGTGTGCCCTGGGGGCAGGGCCAGGCCAGGTAGCCAGGGATCACACCCTGGTTCCTGTGTCCACCTAAGCAGGCGCTTTAACCTGCTGAGCTTTCTGGCCAGCCCTCTTAACTTTATTTCCAATATCTACGATTCCCGTTCATTCAGTTCCCTCTTGCAACAAAATTAACTGAAATAAACCAGTAAACATATGGATTTAACTCTTAAGTGTATCTTTAACAAAACCTCAGTATTTTTGGTGGTACTGAGGACTGAACAAAGGGTCTCAGGCACTAAGCCACAACCCCCCACCCAGCACTTTATTTTGATTCAGGGTCTGTGTTGCCCAGATTGGGGCTAAAACTGGTGATACTCCTACCTCGGCCTTCTACTCTCCAGGATTACAAGTATGCTTACTATAGCTGGCCTGACTTAACAAAACTCTTTGTTACCCTGCAGAAATTGTAGTACGTTCTATAGTACGGTACAGTATAATTTCCAAGTACAACCTCATGCCTTATTTTATAAGCAACAGTATTTCTGAAGCATTGTTAATATGATTCAGAAATCACTAAAGCTTGCACACCAACTTCCAAAACTAAGCCAAGATAAAATCATTTTTCCTGGTTCTACCTCCTTCTGAATTATAGCAGTAGGCCGTGTAGTGTCCTGAGCCGAACCCTTTCCCATGGTGCATCACTACGGCTGACAAGTCATAAAGAAAACACTCCGATCTGTGTGACCTCAGGGTCTCCCTGCAGCAGTAGGGCTCCATGTTTAAGATCTCCTCAAAGCCAACGTGAACACCAATCTTCTCTCGGTTATTGCGTCCTGCCCACCTGAGAAGAAACCACAGTAGAATCAGGGAAAACGACCACACTCTATATAATAGTTCTAACAACGGAGATGAAATTCACAGAATCCTGTACACCATCCATGTGGTATAAAATACCCTTTTAAATACAGTTGACTGTAGGCAAGATGGATACATGCACACCTGCCTGCAGTCCAGGACTCAAGGAAGGCTGAGGCAGGAGGATTGAGTTCAGGGCCAGCCTAGAGTACAGAGTGAGTTCAAGGCCAGTCTGAGTCACATAGGAGGTCCTTTTTCAACCCCACCCTCCCAAAGACAGCTGACTAAAATGGAGAGATCTAGCTTATTTACCAAACAGGTCCAGTCAGATATTAAAATAATTTATCCTCTGTAGTTTGATAAGATAGGAGAAAAAACTTGTGGAACATGATAGCGCTAAGGGCATTTTCCTCTCCTGCTAGGAAGTGTCAAGGGTCCAGAGCTTTTAACTCCTTACTGTGTAGTCACAGGGTAGCAGAGACATCCTAGATGGGCGGCATAATGTCATCTTTACTGGTCAGGTGTGTGGGGCAGATCAACAACACGTGAAGAACTCAGGGCACTGCTTTCCTGCGTACTGCCCAAGAGGACCACGGCGGCCAGCCCGCGGGCAGCTCCAGAGGACACAGGCTGAAAGCTGTGCTGCCGCTGCCAGCCGGTAACGGACTCACCCACGTCTGCAGAATGAAGCCTCCATAAGGACCTAAAAAGGAGGACTGGGAGCCTAGCTCAGGCTTAGGAGCGGCCCCTGACCCCGGAAAAGGGCTTGCAGAGTGTTAGTTGGTTTTTTCTTTTGCCTTTTTGAGTAAGGGTTTTTCTATGCAGTTCCAGCTGGCCTAGAACTTGCGATGTACTGGCTGGCCTCGAACTCACAGTACTCCATCCTCCTGCCACCACCTCCCGCATGCACCCCATGCCCAGCTTGGTCAGCTTTCTGTACCCATTGCCAAATACTGGAGAAAATGAAAGATTTATCTTGGCTCAGGCTTTCAGTGGCTTCAATCCACCATCAGTCACTCCAGGGCAGAAACATCACAGCAGAGGCAGGGAAAGCTGCCATCCAGGACAGCCAGGCAGCAGAGAGAGAACCTGTGAGGAGGGGAGGGGCGGTGTGCCAGGCATGTGTCCTCAGCTGGGCACCTCCCAACAGAACACCCAGTACTGAGCCTGGACCGAGCACACCAGGAGTCAGCCACTGCCTCCAGTTTGTCTCTGACCACTGCTGCATCGGGGACCAACACGTTCCCCACAAGCCTTTAGGGGGCTACTTCACACAGCCCGCAGCTGGTACGGGCTCTGCGTGCCTCATCCCCATGCCTTGCCCTGTGCCACTTCCATCTGGCTGTTTATCTTGTCCATTAAGACAGCACCTCCAACCTTTTGGGTGCCAGGATCTAGTTTTTTGGAGGAATTTTTCCAAGGACTGGGGACGTTCAGGAGGATGGTTTTAAGGTGATTAGGTGTATTACACTTATTGTGTACTTTATATTTACCACACTGCAGTAAGTACTGAAATATTTATACACCTCAGCATAACCACAATCAGTGGAGCCCTGAGCTTGTTTCCCCAGTCTGTTTAGCTACACAGTCCCATCTGGGTACGACAGGAGACAGACACGAAGCCTGTCCCTAATGTTCAGTCAACTCTGCCATTTTGGCTGCTGTCACTGCAGAAACCCCAGCTGTGACTTTCGACCAGAATACACAGAGATCTGAGGTTGTCTCAAACACTCTTTTAGAGTCAGTGCTGGACAATGTTGATTCACCTGGCTTATTCACAAACGGTCACGAATCCATTCCTTCCCAGTGTGGAGGTCTTTTTGCGGTTGGGAAACAAGGCTCAAATGCGTTTGAAAGTAGAGGTGACCGTGATGCAGCAGCCAGGATAATGCAAACCTTAGCTCAGTCTCTTTTTCAAAATTGCTGCCAATATTGGAAGTATGTTAAAAATTCCAATATTCACTCATCAGCCTGGTAAGTCCAGCTTTCTCTGCTGGCAGCCACATTATCTGCTGACTCACACAGTTGTTTCCATGAAGTGACAGGTGAGTTTACTGCTCGGGCTGACGGTATGACATGAGCTAGTGAGTTTTGTGACTTCTCTGGCACTGAAATATGCTGCCAGTGGTGACCAAGCTTTTCTAAAAGAAATCTCTAACCTGCCTTTGTAACCCAGAACCTCTGGTGGGCGACAATCTTTGCAAGGTCCCCCCACCTCTGTGCCATCTCCTCGCAGGGCACATGCAGACAAGACTAAAGGGCGTTAAGGGCTGGCCAGATAGCTCAGCAGATTAAAGCACCTGTTTAGGCAGAGCACAGAGGCTGGGGTTCGATCCCTGGTGTGCATCACAGGAGCATCGCTACGAGTCTGATCGAAGGAGTAAGACCCTGTAGGTGCTGCACTAAAAAATAATAATAAAAAAAAAAGACTGAAGGGCGTGGACTTGAAGAAGGTTGGTAATGTCAATCACAGCCTGCAAACAAGCTAAGGACACAGTTTCTGACTAGTCAGCATTTTTCTACAAGTGACAGAACTGTGTGAACTCAGAAGTGACTGACCAAAGTAATGAAACCAGAAAAGGCCCACTCAGGGCAGGCCACTTCCTGCTTAGAATTTGTTCGTTTTATTTAATCATTCGTTCATTCATTCACTCATTCATTCGGTACAGGGTCTTGCTGCTGGTCCTCCTGGCTCAGCCTCCCCAGTGCTGGGATTACAGGCATGTACCACCATGCCTGGTTTCAGTGGCCGTCTCAGTGTGGGGCCAACACGGTATGTGGTGCTCGAGATCAAACCTGGGTCCTTGCGCTTGCTATGCAGGCACTCAGCCTGCCAAGCTATCTCCCCGGCCTCATCCTGCTCAGAATTTTGAGAAAGAATCCTGGTTTATATCTTTCAGAAAAACAGAGAACATCTTACATAAAAAAGCCTTCACATTTGGGGTGTGGTGGCACACATGTGCAATCCCAGTACTTGGAAGGCTGAGGCAGGAGCGCTACAAGGTTGAGGCCTGAACTACATATTGAGACCGCCCCCATCTCTCTGACAAAAAAAAAAAAGGAAATAGGTTTTGTCTGGTTGCATATAATCTTTGCTCTTTTTAAGTTCTGTGAGCTCTGAAATACATTTTTAGGTTACTTTAGTGTACTGGACAAGACAGCTTGGTATTTCTATCAGACAAATGACTTTCAAAATATTGCAACAGGGGCCGGGGAGATAGCTCAATAGAATAAGCACTTGCCTGGCAAGCACAGGGTCCTGAGTTCAATCCCCAGTACTGAAAAAAAAAAACAAAAAACTATTGCAACAAATCTTTGTAAGAACGGCGCAAATAGAATTCTCCTAAAAAGGCAAAAATAAACACTTGAAAATTTAAAAGGGTAGGGATGTAGCTTAGTACAAAGGCTCTGGGTTCACTCACCAGTACCATTCCCGCATTTGTTGCCTGCCCTTAACATTACAGTACGTGTCACGCACCCACCCTCAGAGGCACCCAGGCACCCTGGCTCCGCTGCAACCTACCTGAATCGCTTGAGGTGCAGCCTGAGGACCTGCGGCAGGCGGCAGATGAGGAGCTGCTTCCGGGCCTCTGTGAGCGTGACCGGCTTTGAGAACCTCCTACGTTTTGCTACATTGTGCAAGAGAATGGAAATCGAGTAAGCGATATAGGAAACGAAAGGCACCTAGGGCCATAACTTAGACTGGAACTAACTCAGTAGCTCGTTTGCAGGGACTGTACTGTGCTGACAGACAGGCGCTGCCACAACATTTGCACAACTCGAGAAACTCGGGAGCTCGTCATGCTGGACCAACATGTGAACATGAAGTGACTAATCCTGCAGCTGGGACAACAGAACAAAGAATACCACTCCACCTATGAAAGGTGGTGGCCACGGCAATTACTAAGAAAAGGTTAACTCCTCTAACTCATCCTTTTACACTTCCCAAACTCCTACTTCAATAGTTACAGAGGCCATACATGATCCTGGGGTGCGGGCCCTGCTGCCTGTACACCCCCCAGCCACTGGCCGACGTCCGCAGTGCTACATTACAGAGCTGTCACTCTTAAACAAGAAGCACCTGGGATCCTTCCTCTCATCTCCTGTCTCTCTGAGATCTACTTGGGGACTCTGCAGCCTCCAGCTGGGGGCCCCAGTCACAGCAGCTGCTTGTGGACAGGAGGCAGACCAGCCTGCTCCAGACTGCCTCCCCTGGCTTCTCCGCAGAAGTACTCCGGGTCACTGCCCCCTGGCCCCCCAACCCCTAGATGCAGCAGTCAGGGCTGAGGCCCTGTTCTCTCCTCTGCGGCCACTGCGGAGCCTGCTCTACCGAGGGATGCCAATGCCCTGACTGCCGCTTTGGAACGCTACCTCTATGCACTTCTGGATCTGGCTCGCACCTCAGGAGACCCATGCTCACTCTGCACACCACTGTGTGGTCTTCCTAGTATTTGCCTACACTCCCAAATTTGGTGATGAAATCATCTGAGATTATTCACATTTATGTCAAGGAAAAAAAACGTGAAAAAAATTTGATGAAGGTGAATTTTTTTTAAGGTGATTTTTTAAAAATCTTTTCTTTTAGGCTCCTTTATTTATTTATTTTTTAATTTTATTTATTTGTGTGTGTGTGTGTGTGTGTGTGTGTGTGTGTGTGTGTGGCCAGCTCAGCCCACCAGGGGGCAGGGCTGGCTGGCATGTGGTGCTGGGGGATTGAACCGCAGTCCCTTGTGCTTTGCCAAGCTTGTTCTAAGTAGGTGCTTTAGACCACTGAGCCATCTCACCAGCCCCTAGGCTCCTTTATAAGTATTTATTAGACACCACTCAGAAAAGCAAATGTAGGACCGGGGAGATGGCTCAGTAGAATAAGCGCTTCCCTGACAAGCACAAGGGCCTGAGTTCAATCCCTGGTTCGCAAAAAAAAAAAAAAAAAAAAAAAGAAAGAAAAGTAAATGTATGTCATTCTAGAAAGTCATCAAGGGCTGACGAGATAGCTCAGGGGCCTAAAGCACTTGCTTAGGCAAACTTAGGCAAGCATAGGGACTGCGGTTCGATCTCCAGCACCACACTCTGGCCACATACAAGAAAAAAGAAAGAAAAAAAATTCATCGATTAAAGGTATATCTGCTCAGTGATGGAACATTTGCTTCTTTTCTTTTTTTTTTTTTTTAAACAGGATCTTACTTTGTAATACAGACTGGCTTGATCTCAATATGCTCACTATGTAGCCCAGGCTGGTCTCAAACTTGTCTCGATCCTCCTATCTTAGCCTCCCTTACTGTTAAGGTGTGTCAATAATGTGGATTTTTTTTTTTGTTGTTGTTGTTGTTGTTGTTGTTGTTTGCAGAACCGGGGATTGAACTCAGGCCCTTGCGCTTGCCAGGGAAGCGCTTATTCCACTGAGCCAACTCCCTGGCCCCTAATAATGTGTTTTGTTCATTAAAAATTTTATATCAGGAAGGGTGATTTTGCTCAGTGGTAAAGCACCTGGCTAACACATGGCAGGTTTTGGGTTTGATTCCAAAGGTAGGAAAAAAAATTCTGTATTTAGAGTCCTAAAATCTATAGTCCCAGCACTCTAGAGGCTGAGGAAGAATTGCTGTGAGTTTGAGGCCAGCCTGAGCTAGTGATTTTTCTTTTTTTTGGGGGGGGTGGGGCAGAATTGGGGATTGAACTCAGGCCTTTGCACTTGCCAGAGAAAGTCTTATTCCACTGAGCCATCTCCCCGACCTCTACATAGTGATTTTAATGCCAGCATGGACTACAATAGGGAAATTCTGCCTCAAAAACCAAAATAAAATAATACAATAAAATGCAAGTATATATATGTCTCAAGGAGATAATGACACAGCACATCTGATGGGGCTTGTTCACTATTTCCCTGAGGAATGTGCCCGTTTCAAGTAGCTATGGCATCCTCTGCAGGGGTTCCTGTGATCCCCTTCTCAGACACCCCTCATCATAACGATCTTCCTGGGCTGGGGAGATGGCTCAGTGGAATAAGTGCTTCCCTGGCAAGCACAAAGGCTTGAGTTCAATCCCTGGTTCTGCAAAAAAAAAAAAAAAGATTTTCCCTGCCTTCTTCCTCCATTAGAAATTCAGGTGCCTTCAAAGTATCTGACCTCAATCCATAAGCAATGACTAATACAAAAGTGACAGTAGATGGTTTTGAATAAATCTTTTTTTTTTTTTTTTTTCAAGCCATGGCCATTTAATTCAGATCACAAAACTTGAGACGCACACCTAACATACAACCTTCTTATATGCACTGATTTTAAATTCTGGTACCTTTTTAGGAATG